TAAATTTTCAAAATACACGCTTTTAATTTTGTCCTGAAATTTTAATTGTTCAATCCAACCTCTTACAATATGCATATATGAATTTAAAGAGCAATATAAACATTTATGTACACAAAATCGACACTATGTACACAACAATTCATCTTATCCACATGTACAACAATTTACATGTGTACATGAACATTAGTGTACATAAAGAATATATATACAGAGACATTGTTGACAAAAAAAATGTGTACATGAACATTAGTGTACATAAGGATAATATAAAACAATGTACATAAGGAGATGAAGAAACACATGTACATGTGGATAGTAATTTTATTATACATCTTGTGAATACATTTATAATGGTGGTGAACATGACAACAAGCCAGAAGTTTAATGTTCATGTATATAACAATGCATGTTTGCTTCTTTTTCATCTACTACTACAAAACAAACACATATTAGATACATTTGCAATTTATAATCAGCACTATAAAAAATCATCAAGATGTACACAAAGTTTTCACTGTCCACATGTACATGGGGTTGTACATTGAGCAAATTAATGATAATTGATGTTTTGGATAGTTTTGAGTTTCTTGATTTAGTTTATTGAGATTGTACATCTTGATATCTTATGATTTTAATATAGTTTTTACCATCTTAATTTATTTAATTTTTATACACTATATTCATTCCACTTTAATATCTTATGATCTTATGATATAGTTAATACATCTGTTAATTTAATTTTATCATTTTACTTTAGTTAATTTAGCCCTCCTTGTTGTATTATTTTCATTGTTTTCATAATCACCAAACTTCAAGTTTTATGTGTTTAATGATGTCTTGGTATTTCAGTAGTTGTTACCATTTGTTTTATGTTCATATGAATCATTTAGAGGTCTTGGATGCATCTATGTTCATTTACATTTGATAGGGTGTAGAATGTACAACTGAAAATTTAGGATCAAAATAAAGAGATCTTTTTTTACAGTTGAAAAAGTTTATGGTCCAAAGTGAAAACAATCTTAAGTCTGAGGATCAGTTGTGCAAAAATACCAGAATTGGCCATTGGTGGCTCCAGGTTTTCGATCTGAAAAAGAAAATTTCGACTTTGATGACGGACAACCTACGGACGATGACGTTAAACCTTTCTACCAAACATGAGACACCGTGGAGAGAAGATCCGTAGAAAAGGAAGAATACTGTGGTGGATGGAGCTCGCCGTGGCTAAAAATTCCGGTGGAGAATTCGTTGACGTGAACAGTACCAGCGTGTATGATATGTGATGGTAAATCGCCAACCGTAAACTAACTTCGTAACACTCCCGACGTTTTTAGTTCAATTTCTTTTTAAACAATGAAGAAGGCAGCAAAAGAAGAAGAGGAGAAGAAGAAGAAGAAGAAGAAGAAGAAAGAGAGTGGGACCACTAAATTATGTTTTAGTTGAAGAATCTAACTAAAATTGAACAAATAGTTAGAAAAAGTGTCTGAATAGATCAAAGTGACTTATAGTGCTATTATAAACTATAAATGTGACTCACAATGTAATATTCTCAAGAACAAATAGAAAAACATATATATCGGAAACGTTCGTTTAGTAATCAACAAAAACTTGAGTAATGCAAGGAAACAAACCATGTGTTGTAAAATAACAAATAGAAAAACATATATATCGGAAACGTTCGTTTAATAATCAACAAAAACTTGAGTAATACAAGGAAACAAACCATGAGACCAAATATTTTTTTAAAGACTTTACTTAAGGAGAAAATAAGAAACCTAAGACCATCATTAACTCCAGCCTCTTAACTGGGGTTCTTAATTTCAGCTGTTCTTAACTTTTCTTTAACTAAGAAAAACTAAGAACCGTCTCTTAAATAAGATATATAAGACATGTCTTTTGGCCAAAAAGTGTAAAGAAAAAAAAGAGAGTCAAATCATAAGTTAACAATCCTGACTAAGAGACCGGAGTTAATGATGTTCTAATCCAGAATTTTTTAGAAAAATATAAGAAACTGTTTCTTAGGAAAATAAATGTTTCTTTACTTATTGGTCATCTTCATTGCACCATCATACTTTCTCTCTTGTCATGCCAATCACTAAATTAGTCATTGGATTAACCTGCATGCAGATTTTTTTCTGCAATATATAGGTGAATGGAAACAAAATACAATACATCCGTATTATTAGTGAACTGCATTATTTCTGGATTTATACTGCATACCCATTCTAAGCCATTGTTAAAGTTCGTTGATGTTGCTAAATTATTTGACTAGCCTCATGATAGCTGGTGCGCTACTCGTCACACTTACACTACAAAAAAACATGTTAATCCTGTTGAAAAAAGAAATTGTCGGAAATCGGTCGAGAATAACAATCGTCGGTAATTACTTGTAGAATTGCCATAATCAGCAGAATTGATCTTTGTAATAACATCTTTACGTGATTTATGACAATAAAAACTCATTACTAAAATTTCGGGACCTTGTTCTGCACACCTAATATATTCATTGTCTGTTGATTGGAATTGGAGAGAAAACGTTTCTGGCTATTGTTGGTTTTGCTGCCTCTTGCATCACTAGAAATGTTCATATTTGAAGATAAATCAAACATAGATGAATAAAAAAGAACTGGAAGTAAGATGTAATCTCGACAACTGCAATGTGAAGTATCCATTTCTGATGTCCTCGTAATCAAAGTAAAAAGAATGTATTTACTACTTATGGACGTATATATATAGTCTTGTCTAAAACTCGGATTAGTTAAGTTTTGGAGAGGCAAATTCGTGTGCATTTTTAGCCATGCAAATTTCTCTCAATTTGTAATTTTATTTCTCAATCCTGTTTTGTTTTTGGTTTCCGAAGGGCATTACTTTGGATTTTCCGACTGTTACTTATTAGGGATAATTTGCAAAATACCTTATTTAAGATTTGAAATTTGACAAATACATTTTATTTAAACAAATTTGAAATCTACACATGTACATATGTGATAAGACTATTTTAACCCACATCTTAATATACAAAAGTAAAATCTGATTTCGTAGTATTCTAATTAATTGATTTGACATAAAAATAATAATTATTACAATACTTAAATTTATAATTTCATAACTGCGAAGATTATCTTCAGAAAATTGGTTAAAAATATGCATATAAATTAACAAAATTTTGGCATCTGTCTACATACCTAGAATTTTGATCTGTTCTAGACAATGTCTCATAGTGCATTCAGCCTAGAACATTGACACCACGGCTGAGGGAGGTTCATTACTTTCGGCTATTGGACCATCACTTCATCAATCTAATTTTTTTTTTGGAGGTTCATCATGTTCTTAACCGAAAGCAAGGAAATTAGTGCTAAACTGCTAATGGCTTCTTTATTTCCGCTCTCCAAGACTCGTTTCTCTTAGTCACTGTTTTTGGTTAATTCTTGTGATATACATGTTTGTGTCTTGTTCACTATCGATAAGTCTAGGTCGCCAGACATGAAAGCTTAATTCATGTCTGCAACACGACCATAGAAATTTTACTTGGTAACAAGATAGATAAACATGTCCATAGGGCCACATCCATATAGATGCAATGAGAAATGGACGCCTAAACTTCTCTAAATTGGAGAAGAGATAGATAGAACTTTGTATTAAATTCCAGTTTTAAGGGTACACGGTATTAAATTTCAGTTTTAAGGGTACACGTGAATATACATATAAGCAATTTTTGTATAATTAAATATCATCCATATCTAAAACTGTTTTTATTTATTTAATTGTAATTAAATAATAATTTTGATATTAATATTAAAATTAGTGTAAATTGTTAATTAGGTTAGTTTAGTCATTTTATTTACAAATAAGTGTATTTTTCAAAAATAAGAATAAATGATGTAGTTATCATAATATAATCTTGTTGGAAGGTATTTTTCCAAATTCCCCCTACTTATTAATAGATATGTATTTTCAGTAAAAAGAAAAAATAAATAAAATATTGATCACATTTGCTATATTATCCATATTAAATCTAAAATATTTATTTAAAGATACTATTTTATAAGTTTATAAAAAACATTTAAAACTAGTTAAATATTAAAACTGAAATTTTAAATTAATTAACTTAATTTCTAGTCTGAATAATACAACAAATTAAGATATAGTTCCCAACTTTTTTTTTGTCATCAGTTCCCAACTGTTTAACTTTAATAATTTGTGTTCAGAGCCGATATTCTAGTTTGGGTAGTCAAAAAAGCAATCTTTCAAAAACATTGTGACGTTAACATTTTCGTGAAATATGGTTACACATTTAATCTATGAATATTTAATACTTTAGTTTCTGTACCTTAATTTAAAACACATGCATATGCAGAGAAAAACAAGAAAAAACAAATAATAATAAAATTGATGAATACTTAATGAAAGTGATCGCTTGAACTCGCATGGTGTCCATCTCAAAATTCCGGTCAGAAAATAGGGTTTAGGTTAATAAATGCCAGTCCTAAGGGGAAATAAGACAAGCAACAGTTTCCAGTCCTCAGAAAATAACCGAAAAAATCAACCTTTATCAGAAAGAATTATTGTTATAGTATATACAATTTAAACACAAAAATTCAATGTTCTTATAAAAATTGGCTTATTTTTAGAAAATTGTTTCTAGTTTTTCCCATGTCAAGACCGATACTGAGGCTAATGTGTCTAGAAAGTAATCTATAAAAGAATATGACAATCATTTATTTGAAAAATGTCTTTATCGAATTAAAAGGAGAAAGAAATTCAGACTTTTGTGTTGTTTTCATCTATTTCCTCATAAATTTTTTAATATTTTACCTCTATATTATTGATTCTAACCAATTTTGTTTCATGATTTTCAACCATATTTTTTGTGGTTCTACATATCAACCTTTGTTGCAAAATAACAAATAGAAAAACAATATCTGAAACAAGAACTTGATCCATACAAGGAAACAAACCAGAATTATATTTTAAAGGCTTTGATTAAGGAGCAAATAAAAAACCTAAGGTTTTGTGCAAGTGTATTCAACAGTGAGCCTAAAATCTCTCTTGCAGTGACTCGGACCAAACATCTCGTCTGAAATGATAAGAGCACAATTGTGTTTTCCAAGACAATTCTGTACAAATAATACTGAACGTAAGATTCATTGAGATATTATTTTCACTAATCCACAACATATATATCAATCTTCGTTAATCTTTCTTACCTGTTCGACGACCCTCAAGGTAGCTGCGGCCCCGCAATTGCCGTGTCTACTTTTTTTATTTTTTTCACAATCGCTAGGATTGCCATAATCAGCGAAATTGATCTTTTTAATAATAGATTTAGGTGATTCATGACAAGATAAAAACATATCCTCCATTTCAATACTTGAACTTGCACAGTCCATATATTCCTTGTCATGTTGATTACTGGAATTAAAGAGAAAACGTTTAGGGGTACCATTAGTTTTGCTGCCTCTTGCAACACTGGAAATGTTCATATTTGAAGCTAAATTAAACACAGATGAATAGAATAGAACTAGAAGCACGATGTAGTAGCCTTGATAACGACAATGTGAAGTATCCATTTTCTTCCGTCCTCGTAATCAAAGGTAACAAGAATGTATTTACTACTTATAGACGTATTTATATTGTCTATATTTTTTAAAACTTAGATTAGTTTAGTTTTGGAGAGGAATATTCGTCTGTAGATGTGGCCACGCAAATTTCTCTCAGTTTGTAACTATATTTTTCAGTTCCCATTTTTTCTTGGTTTTCGGAAGGGCATTGCTTTCGACTTTTTCAACATTGCTTATTCATATATTCTTATTTTCAATAAGAATGACAAAAGGATAATTTATCACCTTTTACACTATCCGTCGTAAGTTGAAAACTAGATTTTGATCCGTGCTTAAGAAGCGCGGGTTTTGTTTTGGTTATAACAAAATGTATTAAATGATTCGATTTATATTATATGATAGTTTTATATATGAAATTTGATATATATTTAACCTTTTAGTAGGGTGTTTTCATTGAATTTTGCATAATCGAGTCAGTTTTTGGTTGAATCGAGAATTAGAAAATTAAGTGTTGTGAGAGTATAAAGAATTAAAATACATATTAAATTAAAACCAAAATAGGATGGATGCATAGTAAATTTGAAAAATCAATACTATTGAAAATAAATAAATAAAAGTTGTGGGTTGGTGAGTACCCGCGATTCAAAATCCACCAAACCGCACCCGTCCTGCATAAAATACTCATAACCCGCACCCGCCAATCAATTTTTCAAATTGTTCAATCCGCACCCGCCTGCAGGGGGTTAAACGGGGCGGGACCCGCGGGTGATAACTCAGATTCCCAGTCCTACTTACATCATAAGCATTTGAGATCTGGACCTCACCTATAACCAAAACTAAATCATAAGTATTTGAGTAATTTCTTCTGACATAAAACAAAAAAAATGAAGGAATGATCAAAACATTGAGTTAGTAAAAACATATTTCCAACTATATAAACAATGGTCATTTAGTACAAAATCAAAACATAAGTTTTTATTTTCAAGGAATGCCTCTATATTTTGCCCAATCTTAGCAAATCGTAGAAGACATATCATCATGCATTCTGTTTCTTGGCTAGCTGTATGAATATTCTCAGCAAATTTACCCCAAAGTCAACAAACTTATATCTGACCACTAATAATATTGCATATCAAGTTATAAATCAATATGTTTATAGGCTTATATCTTTTATATTAAATATATAAAATTTACGAAATGTCTACGAACTCCAACACGAATATGTTTTTCCAATTCAGGAATGTATGTCTCACGAGGCATGGATCTTAGTTCCATATATAAACAAAAAATAACATTATCATTTTAGGTTAAACTTTTACGAAATGAAGATATCTAAATCATAAATCTATATAAAACGATAAACCTACATTTGCTTAACAAAGGATTAGTTCTATGGTCTCCCCTATGTCTTTCATGAAATGTCTCCATGTATGAAGGATTTTGATTTGGATGCGACATGCAGTCTTCTCGGTTTTATATCGCTCAAGAAAGACAACTGCAAATTATTCACCACTTGTGTTTTAGGTTTTTCAAAGAATGATGAATATAGTGGTTAAGAAAGGCTATATTTATAATAGGTAGGGATGATATACATTTAGGTTACGCAAATGTAGGGCAAAATATTTAGACGATTTTAAAAAATATCTCTTTCGAGGAATAAAGAATATTTCTTGAAGATATTTTAAATTAGATAAGAAGTTTAAAGTTTAATAGTTAATGGTAATCCAACTACGGTAAGTTACCAAAATTCAACCAAAGAATAACTAACCACGATATTGATTGTGGTTAACCTATAAACTTGTAGATGAAGAAATTTATTTATTTGAGTAGGAAGATAATTATAGAAAATCGTTTTTGCAATATTTTATTAACAAAACGTATCTCGTCCATTAAATGTCACCATGAAAATGATAATATATCGACATATGAAGAAAAGTTAATAAAAAAATATTTGAAATTATCTTGCGTATAACAAATTTAGTTATTATTCAATAAGAATCTTAATATATTATTTAAATATTTTCAAAATCGGATATCAAAGATATTACTAAGATCTTTTCTAATATTTCATTTTGACAATATCTTTTAATATCTTTTTCTGTAAAATATAATATTTATTGTTTAATATTTATTTTAAATAATAAAATCTAATTACTTTAAATATTATTACTATTAATTTTAATTCATTTGGATTTATTAAATAATAAATACCATTACTATAATATTTATAAAAACATTATTCATATTCATAATTAAATTACTACAATAAATAATAAATATATATATATATATATATATAACTTAATTAAAATTATTTTATAACCTATAAATTAAAATAATTACATATTCATGACAACATATATTCATAGAGTTTACAACATACTTCAATTTATTAATGCAAAATATTAAAATATATATCAAAAGAATAAAAAAATTATATTTAATATAATATCTAAATTACTATATTAAAATATAATTTAATATATTTTTATTTGATAAAAAATATTAAATTTTGTTGATTTTATACTATAATAAATATTTATGTAGTCAATCTATATATTTAAATTGTGTAATTATAAGACAATATAAATGTATGAAATATAATATGGAATATGGTTAGAGTAATTAATGGGAAGAGAGAGAATAAATCGGGTATATTTAATATGTGATATGATTTGTAACAATTGATATATATATATAGATGTAAGACCAAAAAATAAATTACCAAAATACCATTAATGAGGTTACAGACAATTTCCATCAGTCGATTTTTCAAGGGTGCTTTTAATAGTATAGATACACGTAATTCACACATCGAATCCTATTTTTAACAATTTGATGCTCATGGTCGCTTTTCTAGTTAAGTCGGCAAAAAACGATCCTTCAAAACTTTTGTGAAATTATCCATTTTGTGAACTATGGTTAACATTTACTCTATGACTATCTACACTATTAAAATAGAGTCATTATTTTATCTACCATAAAAAAGTATATGTAAGACCACTAACTATAAATTTAACAAAATATCTTAAATTTATATCTTACAGATATATATATATATATATATGATATTTTCCCAACCGAAAACAATATAATCCAAACAATAAGATTTCCATAAAATCCAAATACATTACTATTATGTAACTATTTTTTTTTACCATAGTTAATCTATGCCAGATGTTATGTATTTTAGATAATAATTCTGAAATTAAAGTGTAGCTCAATTATTTAAAATTATAATATTTACTTTTTTATATAATAAAATAAATCATAATGTATTTGATTTTTATAGTAATATAAAATCACAAAATAAAAATATTTCAAGAATAAAAAATTTTGAATAATAATTATAATCACTCATATAAAACTAATTTTTAAAAACTACATTATTAATATAAGATTACATTTTATAATTTATATTATATTTCAAATATTATTTGAAAACAAATATATATCTGCACGGACGTGCGGGTTCGACGCTAGTTTGATCACTACAAGAAAACACGTCCTTTACTAGGACGGGTTTTCCTCGTTATTTCCTAGTAAAGGGCCCTTTACTAGGAAATAGCGAGGAAACGTGTTTCGTCGAAAGACGTTCATCGTAAAGGCTATTTTCCTCGTAAAGGCCTAGCTAATTTACGAGGAAAGATTTCCTCGTAAAGCCGTGGAAAACATTTCCTCGTA